GACTTTCACGCGCTTTTGTACGCTGGTGATATATATAATATGAAACATCGTGTAATGGTTATAAGCGATGCCAAGTGATAAAATATTATGAGGGTACTTTACAGTACATTGGTTGAGTTTAATATTGAATTGGGCGATTTTATTGGACGAGTACACAGTTGTCAAATCTATATTGGACGAGGTGTAAGCCGAGTCTGATGTGGGTTTTTGCAGCTGTGTACGAGTCCAATATAATAAGTATTGTTCTCAAAAATTTATAATGACCTCTTTATTTCACTCTTTTTGACTTCAAGTAAAAATAAAAATTGCATTTTATAGTCTAAGTTTCATGCTTACGCACGTTCACCGACTTTACAGCTATTACCCCTGGTCATCGGGCTACTGGTATCTATCTATCAATCTCCCTGGGGAGTCTTTTAACTCCGCTTAGTGCAGCCGACACTTGGCGCAACGGAATTATACCACCCTCGCAGGTACCCATTTACACCTGGGTGAAGTGAAGCAATCGCAGGTAAATTTCTTGCTCAAGGAGTGCCCCTGGTGGGGTTCGAACCCGGGACCTCTCGATCCCTAAGCGCGCGTCCTACCACTGGACTACTGCTCCTACAGTACAATAGGGAATCGATATACATTTTAAAACAAATAACATTTAATCCTGAAAATAATACTTTGATATTTTTCAACATTAAAATAAAATAATAATGAAAAACAAAATTAAAAAAGAACATAATAATAGAAAAATAGAACATATTTTAGCTTTAATTTTAATATATATGGCGTCCGATTGCAAGATCTTTACTCTTAAAATGAGAAATATAGAATTGATTGATTGATTGATTGATTGATTGATTGATTGATACGGCAATTGAAAAACACCAACAACAGCAAAAAAAACCACAAAAACAACATATATTGTTGATCAAACGTTATTTAAAGGCCCATTTAGGAATGTCCTTCTTCAGTAACAGCAAAAAATTATTAATATAACGTTTAAATAATGGTTTAGCGCATGCTAAATGCTAATCACCTGGAGAAAGTGGCACTGAATGTAAAATTATATATCATATTTATAAGCGTTAAAATGTTAACAAATATTATTTGAACTTCCATACAAAATGGATAAGTACTAAATCACCATATAACTGTACAAATTGCAAAAAAAGCAACATAAGCGAAAAGTATATAAATGGTTCAGCTCAGAGATCAACCAGTATGTTTTTGAACACCGGAAATAAAAAGATTTTGAGAAATGAAAAAGGCATGTCTGTGGTATAATAGAATGACCTACAATTATACAATGAAGATTTAGTACAACTTCATTAAATATCTCTTGAAATACATATTGAAAGATCATGTTTAATAAGCATACAATAAGATATCAAGACAGGACAGTTTAAAAAAAAACAACATGTTTTTTATTCTGCAGTAAAATCGTGAAAATTGGCATTTTTATTGAATTGTTCAAAAGTCTCGTCAAGAATATTTTGTTTTGCGTTATACAACTTCCATGTGTTTCAGACTACTTCATCTTCTTCAGTGGACCCCATTGTCATTGCGTTTTTCTTCCCAAGTTTCATAATTTTTCACTTCCGGTTAACAGCAGTCTGTAAACAGACCAATCATCTTTTTACGAAAGTCTTTGTTAAAGAATCCATACAGAATGGGATTTACGGCACAGTTTATAACGTAGGATCGAAGGAAGAGATTCCAAACAGCCTTTTGTGCGCCAGGTAAATCATCATACAGCCCAGGTTTTACCGTACGTATCGAAACTATCGCCACAAATGGAATAAAACTGAGGACATACGCAATAGTTACAGAAAACAACATCATTGTTGTCCTTCCCGCACGGATACGGTGCGAGACTGTCTCCCTTTTTAGAGAATACACGGTAGGTGCAGATAATCGAAATTGTTTTTTCAGTCCCTGGCCAATTTTATGACGAAGTGGCATGGACATTGATTTAAGAACTTTTGGCTGTTCTGTTCGCTCTGCTTCAAGAACATCTTCGAAGGAGCAGCTGGTTTCAGAGGAATGATCTATTAGAACTTTCTTACGTCTGGCCGGTATGTTTGCTGTCGATACAGAGTAATGTCTCTTTTCTTCAAGTTTAAGTCGTTTGTAAACAGCCTTGCCAATGCGAACATACACTACTATCAAAATAAGCATGATAGTTATTGTGGCCAAAAACCAGATGCCTAAAATATATTTCTGAAGTGCAGAGTCTTTGTACCGATCACTAATCTGACACGTATGCCCAGTCAAATTGTAATACACATCACCATATTTGTATTCCTTCATCACAGTTTGTGTGCCATAAAGTATGAAAGCCGGTATATAGAATGCTATACCTAATGCAGCCGCAGCAAAACATATAAAGCGTGTCTTCTTTGGTGTAAATACTGGCTTCAAAGGGCGACAAATCTTTCTAAATCGGTCCACGGCTATTCCACAAAGCAGCAATGCGGAGACCCCATTAAGAATATATGTCAATGCTCTACCGATACTGCATATGATGGGATGATCATATGTAAGATAGTTGAGAATGATGCTGATCTCTGCGGGCATTGTGACAACGCAGTTAAATAGGTCGCAAATAGCAAGGGCAAGAATGAAGATCCTTGACGCAGTCCGTCTCATCTTGCTTTTGTAAACAATGACGGTAATAATGTTCCCGGGGATGCCGATTAAAATTGCAAGAAGCACTATGATAAATGATGGTATTAGAATTTCAAATACTTTGGCATCAATTGAATGAAGAATTTTATACTCCATTTCAGGATTCAGCTCTGGAGGCATTGTACTGTTTGTGACGTCATTGTGACAATTCATTTCCGGTGACACTGATCTACATTCCATTTTGTAAGCTTTTCTAAGACCTGGAACAGAAAATGAAGACTGAACGATCTTAAATGTCATAAAATAGGATGATCTTAGATTTGTCTGAAAATTTAAACAGCGTTAAACTTCTAGTCCATTAGACAAGTATAAATGTGTGCATATCGTTTTCACATGGCAGTGTAATAATTATGGTCAGGTACGAGAATCCAGCAAAATGATTAGTTCTGAAGACATGTACGGTTTACGGGAATCCAGCGAAAAAGATTAATTCTTAAGGTACGGCTTACAGGAATCCAGCCTTAAAGGAATAAGAATGGATGGATTGATGTCTGTCTAATATAAATATTCATCATTTAAAAAGAGGAACCATGACAGTTTCCCTATTGACATCAACCCTATAAGAGAGAAATTCGTGTTTAAAGACACTATTTTTTACTTGAGAAATAAGTTCATGGGCGCCGCCATTTTGGCGTTCTGTCATTCTCGCGAGACAGACGAGACCGAGATTGTGACGTGTAATACCCACTTCCGGTATAGTTGTACACGCTGGTACAACTGAAATATATCTTGATGAAGAACTTATTAATTTAATTGCGTACATTATATATTATTTATGAAAACATCATATGGAACTGAATTGCTTTAATTAATTAATTGAAGACGCCGCGACATTAATTATCATTTGCCCGATACTCAAGCTTGCTGATGATCCCACCACATGATTTAAGCAATGACTGCTTAATTTTCAAAGATAAACCATCAATTTACTTTGGGTACTATGAGAAACTTCTTCAAATTGACGATATATCCTTTTATTTTGTACTTAATTTTCGCTAGACAAGCTGTCCAAATAGGGTACATCGCCGGTCATATATCTTTTTTCAAGTAAAATATCAACTAAATCCAATATGCTGAGGACGCGATTTTCCGCCATTGACGCTAAAAATGAGAAAGGCGCAGGAAAATCGGCAGCCAGACTTATATCGTATGAAAACAAAACTGTCCGTAAAGTTATTTAGGCACCCAGTCAAAACTGGTACCAACAGCAACAGGTTGCCCATTCCCCTATAATTACGCATATTCTCGGGTTTATCCAGTTCCCCAAAGCTTTTTTCCACGTTATCTACTTACCAAATTCCTTTCCCCGACAGATACGCATTTCTTCTACCGTAAATTTAATCCAATAAAACAAAAAATCATAAATCTACTTAATATTTAAAATGATTATTGGGAACTGAAAAAAAATGTGTTGCTATTTTATGACGTGCTGTAATTTACTACAGTACAATTTGACAGGTGTGGAACCGAATTCCCCCTAAGGTCATTCAGTTCACTGATGAAGCGTAAAAAAAATAGATGTCTATTTCGTCATTAGAATATTTGACAAGGGTGATTAACCAATTAGGGCAACATTGTGCATGATCAAAAGGTCTGTCGGCACAGAGGCATACAAGGAGCAATAAAAATCGTCAGTACACAGTGTGACAGGAGCATTTGGTGCAAATTAGGAACAATCAAAATGGACAATGCGCAGTATTAGACATAAGTAGTAAGAACCAGCAATTGTGTGAATAAATTATGCAAATAAGATTTTTGAGCAGCCAATAAAAATGATTTGCCTGCAGTTAATATTAGGCTACGATTACGATGCGCAGCATCATACGTTGACAGACATGTTAACAATTTACTTTTCAAAACAGTTGCTGATATTTTTGAAATGTGTACATCAATTATAACATATGTTCACACCTTTAAATTTGAAAGTCAGAATCAAACTGCAAAAAATTAATTATATGTACTATTAAGAACACGTTTTAGTAGGGTTTTTATAATGGAAGTGGCTAGCGTAAGCCAAAAGTTTTAGCCGTACGTGAGTCACGTACGACTAGCAAGGACACGCTGTATTGGCTAGCCGTACGGCACTTTTCAAATTTTTATGGAAGTCGAAAATGCATATGTTATTTTATGACTTTAAGCGAGGATTTTAACCAAGAAACAGCATTAATTGTCTTTGGATGTTAACTTTTTAGAGATTAATCGCCTTGATCGCTATATATATCGATCTTTGTCATCGCAAGATGTCGAGAAAAAATAGCCTTTGCTTGCATTTACACCAATTGAAATAGTTTACAAATTTTTGATAATAATCCTTTTTTGTTTCATTAAGTTTAATTTTCGACACCTTTTATATGAAAAAAAAAACAACAACAACAAACACTGAAAATGATTGTTGTTAGGCTCTTGATAATTGCGACAATTACCGACGGTACTGTATCAAGGAAAGTTTGCATGTTCCGTGAAAGGCATTCTAAAATTCTATTGTCAGTCCCTGGATAGGTTTTAATTAAGGCTAATTAATTGATTGACTGTGCTTTTATGTTCGATATTTATCTACTGTTTTGAAAATTATATAATTATTTTTGCATTTCACCGTTTTTTCCCATTCAATGTTCTTTTTATTTATTTATTCCACTCCGATCATTTTTTATTCGATCCATGTGCTTAAAATTAACAAAAATGATTTAATAATTCATACAAATTAAACAACAAATGATAAGCATGAAAATCAACAATTTTATAACGTTCGACTTCCATATAATTTTGAAAATTGCCGTACGGCTAGACAATACAGTGCGTCCTGGCTAGTCGTTCGTGACTCACGTACGGCTAGAACTTTTGGCTAGCCGTACGTTTCTTTATTTTTTATTATTTTTTTTTTTTTGATATTGTTACGTATTTTGAACCATAAAAAATCTCCTCTACACCTCCTGTGAAAATTAAATTGTCTGATCAATACTTTATTATATTAATATTTCCTTACGATTCAACTAGATTTATCATGAATCTAAAAGATGTGGGGAAATGACATCACGCGCACCTGTTTTTATACGGCCAATACACAAACATGGCCGCGCTTACCGATTTGTAGAAATCGGTGATTTAGCGATTTAAATTTTGTTATCATTCGTTTAATATTATTATTTGGCGGCAGAAAATTTGCAGACTTATTATTTATAGTATTCTTTTTCTGAAATCAAGTTTTTATTTTAACCTTGTCTTTCCCTTTAAATAAATTTTATTCTGAAGGTACGGTTTACTGGAATCCAGCAAAAGGATAAATTCTGAAGGTACGGTCTACGGGAATCCAGCGAAATTATTTATTCTAAACGTAAACACGGGGGGGAATCACGTGACTTTGTATAGTAATACCCACGATAAAATGGTGACTGCTGAGCCCCGGTAAGTACCTTATTATGTTAAATTAAGGTGACAAACGTTTCTTAAATCAAAACAAAACCTAGCGTATCATATGCGCGTTAATTTTCTTCAAATGACAATACAAAGTGCATTATCCTACGTTTTGTGGTTTTTGAGAACATTGTTTGAATTGTGTGAAAATTGCACATTCAGCGATAGTAATTCGCACGAAGCGATATAACTTGGTACCAAAATAAATGAAAATAAGCCTTCTTTTTGCACTTAAGACACCAAATCAATCATTTTATTGACATCTGTTCTTGTAGAATTCCATATAAAATTTTGTTCGAAGGTCTGTAGCCTACAAATGTTCTTTGCAAGTGTTTAGTAAGTAAAACGAACAATTTCTGGATAGTAAGTTGCACGAAAACAAAATAGTAAGTTTCACGCACAGTTTCCAATAGCTTACTAAAATGTGACGAAACTATTTTATAATTCTTTTGGTTTCAAATTTGCAAGTGTATTCCGTCTACGGTAACAGAGAAACAAATATCGAGAGAGTATTTTAATAATAATTCATATTATTTCATAATACATGTATTCATATAATTTCATAAAATATTACTTAACTTAAAAAAAACTAAATGAGACATATTGACATTAATACTCAACAATGTACGTTACACTTGGCCCTTTTTCACGTTAGACTGGACCCACATCCGTCATCTTTAGAACTAAAGAAATAACTGTGCAGAAGGAAATATTACAACACCATCATTTACTTTTCAGTATTTGCAATTTGGACCAAAAACGCAAAGGAGAAGACATTCGCCATATCACATTGATATTTAATGCCATCATAGAACTGGTATACAAAGTTTTTATTAAATTTATTCTTTTATACACTGGCAGATTTTATAAATAAACCCAAGAAGTTTTGTTAAAACGTTATGTATTACTATACGCTTATTATTTTACCTTGTGCAAATGTGTTGTATCGTAAACTCTTACTTTTTGTTTGTGATAGAGTAAGTAAATAAGATATTCAGGGCGTCCATGGCCGAGTGTTTAAAGTTCCTGATTTTAATACACATGCTTCTCACCGCTATGGATTCTAGTCCGACCAGAGTCCTTGAATTCTTTCATCAAACTAGCTAGCAAAACGTCGGTGCTTTAACTCAGGTGTTCCGACATTGACGGTGTGATTTGAAACCCAACATCTAAGATTGTTTTATGTAAATATTTTTTTACTCCACTTGCAGTGTAAATATCTTTGACCGTTTGATTTCTAATATTCGTTTTTCTTTATAGGTCCATTATGCCTCTTAAATGCTGTCATTGTTATTAAAAAAAACTGTTTATTTTTGGTATCTTAATTGTTACAGTTTTCGAAAACATACTCATTTGCTAGATACTCAAACTATCTTTTGCATCTTTGGTTTTGTTGGAAAATGGTATACCTTTCGTGAATAAGTATTTCGTATGGAAGTCAAAATACTACTTTGTTTACATTTTGCTACCTTAACGACACACCACTTAATGTTCAGCGCTACCTTTTTCAGTTGTAATAAAATACTATCATGCGTTTTATCCATTATTTAAACATTATGATACACATGTTTGACATTTCTAAAGAATTTAAACAATATGGATTTCTGAGGCACAATGTGCCTTTAATCATAACTTGTATCAGTGTATCATTGTTGTTTGTTTTGTTGTTGTTGTTTTTTTTTGTAAGAAGTGATTTTGTTCTTGCAAATTCTTCAATATATTTTCATAAATTAAGAAACATAGTGACTAAATGTAACAAATACCGCCATATAAAAACATCAGCATTCAGTTAATAAACATCACCATACCAATTAACAAGCAATTATATTTGTTCATCTTCTTTCTAATTACAGTAAAATAAGGGCCAAGACACACCTGAAACTGCAAAGGTCAAAGAACTACTATCGCAACAGAAAAATAACACTGAGCCGTGTAATATCAAATCCCATCAAAAGTTCATTTGATATATTATAATAACAACCAATTAAGCATTCGTCCTATAGACAAAAAGTGAAATATTTGAACTTGAATAATTGAAATAAGTATTTTCTATCGCTTTACATATGAACTTTAACTTTCTTTTAATGTATATGTATGCTAATGGAAACTGTGCGTGAAACTTACTATTTTGTTTTCGTGCGACTTACTATCCAGAAATTGTTCGTTTTACTTACTATACACTTGCAAAGAACATTTGTAAGCTACAGACCTTCGAAAATATATTTTATATGGACTTCTACAAGAACAGATGTCAATAAAATGATTGATTTTGTGTCTTAAGTGCAGAAAGTAAGCTTATTTTCATTTATTTTGGTACCAAGTTATATCGCTTCGTGCGAATTACTATCGCTGAATGTGCAATTTTCACACAATTCAAACAATGTTCTCAAAAACCACAAAACGTAGGATAATGCACTTTGTATTGTCATTTGAAGAAAATTAACGCGCATATGATACGCTAGGTTTTGTTTTGATTTAAGAAACGTTTGTCACCTTAATTTAACATAATAAGGTACTTACCAGGGCTCAGCAGTCGCCATTTTCTCGTGGGTATTACTATACAAAGTCACGTGATTCCCCCCCGTGGTAAATGAAACATCATATCTTGATAACCTTTGCTACTTAAAATTTCATCTCCGGGATGTAAATGTCATTTGACTTAATTTTACAGGTGTTATTATAATAAATAGAGCATCATCATCAACGAAACAAGCACATGATGATTTGACAACATCTGACAGCGTTATTAAACAATCAAGTTATTGTTACGCAAGTATGCTTAATAAATAGTTTAATTGTCATTATTATGCATCTAAAACATACAACATTTGCATAGCAATGTGACAAGTAATGAGAATGTTACGAAAGACCGGTAGGGCCATTTTAACTTCAAGAATTTCCGATTTCATCATCTTAACTTCGTTAATTCACGTTTTCAATTAACATACAAAATTCACGAATTTACTATTTCAACGTGATTTTCACGATTTCAACTTCAAGAATTGACGATTTAAACTTCATGCATTCACGATTTCAACTTCATGAAGTCAACTTCGTGGATTGACAATTTCAGCTTCACCAATTTCAAATCGTGAATTTATGAAGCTGAAATCGTGAATTCATGTAGCTGAAATTGTGAATTCATGAAGTTGAAATCGTGAGTTCATGAAGTTGAAATCGTGAATTCATGAAGATGAAATCGAGAATTCACGAAGTTGAATTCGTGAAAGTAAAGCCGTGTATTCATGAAGTTAAAATTGTGAATTCATGAAGTTGAAATCGTGAATTCATAAAGTTGAAATCGTGAATTCGTGAAGTTGAAATCGTGAATACATGTAGTTGAGAATACATGTAGTTGAAATCGTGAATTCATGAAGTTGAAATCGTGAATTCGTGAAGTTGAAATCGCGAATACATGTAGTTGAGAATACATGTAGTTGAAATCAGGAATTCATGAAGTTGAAATCGTGAATTCATGAAGTTGAAATCGTGAATTCGTGAAGTTGAAATCGTGAATTCGTGAAGTTGAAATCGTGAATTCATGAAGTTGAAATCGTGAATTCATGAAGTTGAAATCAGGAATTCATGAAGTTGAAATCGTGAACTCGTGAAGTTGAAATCGTGAATTCATGAAGTTGAAATCGGAAATTCATGAAGTTGAAATCGTGAATTCGTGAAGAGGAAATCGTGAATTCATGAAGTTGAAATCGGGAATTCGTGAAGTTGAAATCGGGAATTCATGAAGTTAAAATCGGGAATTCATGAAGTTGAAATCGGGAATTCATGAAGTTGAAATCGGGAATTCATGAAGTTGAAATCGGGAATTCATGAAGTTGAAATCGGGAATTCATGAAGTTAAATGTCCCTACCGGTCTTTTGTAGAATGCAGATCAGGTGTTCCAGTTTATTTCAACAGGCGCATGCTTACAAATTTTCCCACGTGCTTACATTTTTCTACGCATGACATGTCAGGTAAACGCTTAACATTTAAAGGAAATAATTAGCATGTTTTAATGACTGGTTACTGAGTACAAGTATTAAAACTGTTACCAAATATTTTGTAAATGTATATAGTAACTCTCATTTGATGACGATACAACGTAACACCGTTCTTTTCTTAAAAAAATCAAAGTTATTACGTACTTATATAATTATACATATTGACTACGACAGAAATATTTAATAAGAATTAACCATTCTTTCTTAGACATGAATTTAGGAATCACAATAACTGTAACAGGTAATATTTTTATTTATTTTTTTTTATTTTAAAAAGGCAAAAATAAGTATTTCCCGCACTTATTGTTGAATAAACTTGCTTTTTTATTCTGGGAACTATAGAATAAAAGTGTATACAACAAATAACTTACTTTTTGTGCAATAGTGCCTCTTTTCCAGATAATATATTTTATATTTTACACCTTTTTTCAATTATTCCCTTGAAAGTATTTTTTTTAGATAAAATTCATAATCTTTTTTACAATATCTATCTATCAATTTTGTTGTCAATTCTCCTTAAACAAAGTAATATGTAAAACTAAAATTTATAAGCTTTAATGAAGTAGAATACATTTCAGCATTAGTTTCAGTTACTTTCGGAATGTTTATGAGTTTATAGAAAAAAAACTAGTCAGTAAACCGTCAAGTATTTCGGACATTCATTGCACAAGTAGGGGATTTGGTTTAAGACTACCACTTCACAACACTTCATTATTTGAAGATGTCAAGATTAACAAACAATCGCTTTCACGAATATATGAGCCGCGTCACGACAAAACCAACATAATGGGTTTGCGACCAGCATGGATCCAGACCAGCCTGCGCATCCATGCTGTTCACTTACCAACTCTTTTACAAGTAGAGAAACTGATAGCGAACAGCATGGATCCTGATCAGACTGCGCGGATGCGCAGACTGGTCTTGATCCATGCTGGTCGCAAACCCATTACGTTGGTTTTGTCATGACGCGGCTCATATAAACAATACATACTTTATAATGTTAGACAGTTATCATTGACGATAGAGCGGCCAGTTATCCAGGGATTGACTCATGCGACATCTTCAAGGAAACATCCGTGAAAAAGTTTTGGTAAAAAAAACGACATTGCGACACACACGCGCACATACAAAAAACAACAACGCTTCGTGGAAAAAAACTTCAAATAAGTGAACTTTTAATAACAACAGTTATATATATATATTGCGTTTTTTTCTTTTTTTCTGTTTTTTTAATTATCAAGCAAGAATCAAAAGCGATTATATCCTCCTAAATTCCGGTTAAATTAGTTATAAATAAACATGAGTCATGCTATTTAAGAGTGAAAAATCTTGAATTCTGCAATAAAACTGTGTGTGTGTGTGTGTGCAAAAATAAAGCTCATTGGAGTTACCTCAAAAATGAAGGGTAAAATTGATTATCGCCAAAACTAAATTCATGGTTACGTTTTGTTGTCCTAAGGTACAACATTCAGTAAAACACAAAGTATGCACCGGACGGAGAATCTTACAGCTTTTGAAATCGCAACTTGTCGGCCCTTTCTAAGGACATTGATCACAATAGTGATAACACTCAGAACGGGTACAGTATTTCGGTCAAACCTATGCTAAGTATATGTTAGTGTTCATCCGTGCTGTTCTACAGAAATTAGAAACTTCGACGGGAGCGATAGCGACAGGAAACTGTTACTGATTTCTGTAGAACAGCTACGGATGAATACTAACATACTTAGTGTCAAACTTTATTTGGCCTCATTATTATCCACTTTATTACGTCACTACGCATTTCTATGAAGTACTTTGAAAAATAGAAGGCGACTATGAACGGAATTCGATATAGTATCGACTTTTGTTCTTCTATGAAAATTAACGCACAATATTTTTAAGAAATACAGCGTTTTCATTGGATGACAAATAAAGTTGGACACTAAGTATATGTTAGTGTTCATCCGTGCTGTTCTACAGAAATTTGAAACTTCGACGGGAGCGATAGCGACAGGAGAATGATTCTAATTTCTGTAGAACAGCTAAGCACTATGAAAAATCGAAGGCGACTATGAACGGATTTCAATATAGTATCGACTTTTTTTCTTCTATGAAAATTAACGCACATAATTTTGAAGAAATACAGCGTTTTCATTGGATGACAAGTCTGTTGTCGGGTTGACTCAGGAGACCTGGAGGTTGAGACCGGTGTCCCTCCATTACAAATAGATAAGACAGAGGCTGACCTTTTCAAACTATGCACATGTTAGAAAAAAAATAGAATAACTATTCAGAATATGATTTTTTGAGACTTTATTAATTATATTGTTTGATCCAAGTTTAAGGACATTTTCAATCAATACATGTATTATCATTTATAACTTTAAATGAAAGTCTCATCCCTTTAATAATAATGACATAACTGTAACTCTTTAAATTCAGAAATATTATAAGTCTCATCATATCAATATACTAAGATATACATGTATGCACATAACATTAATAATTCCCAGTTTCTATTAAATAAATATGAAATCCTAACATTAACATGCTTTTGATGACCTTACAACTGGTAAATTTTATACAACAAAAATAGTAAGTAATACCTAAGATAGACAGAAAAGAACAAATAATTTAGTAAACATGAGTTACTTCCCCTTAAAATATAGAAAACCTGAAACCCAAAAGAACACCCTAAACAGCAAAATTATGAAATGTTGCAGGCTCAGTTTTATTAAGCCATGCAAATTAATGGTAAAGTATTCATAAAAAAATAGATGGCCATGTGACAGCAGTAATTGCAGAAAATCGGATAGCTTTCAACATCCGGATACTGGTACACTTTGTAAAAACAACCATTCTGTGCAACAGATAAACGTAATATGGATAAAATCAATAGGATAATCGTTTACAACAGTTCATTACCTATCCTAATACTCATTTGCAGGTGAACTTTCTTCTTGTAGGAAAATTTTGAAAATATATAAATGAATGAATGAATGGATACGGCATCAATGTAGACCACAACGATATTCGAAATCCGGGTTTTAGTATTGTCAATAAAACTAAGGGACAAGCTGTTAAACTGAGCCTGCAATTTCGTGAAAATAATATCACAATGCACATGCTTTTTACATAAAGTTATTAAATACAAATATAACAACATATCTGTTTACTTATTTTTTACGAATCAAAATGAAAGTAATTAACACAACATGACATTAACTGCTTATAATAACAGCTCCTTCCATAGGCCAAACTAAAAACCATTCCATAAGAGACGACGCCGCTCACCGGCGTCGCCAATAACGTTTCAACAACAACAACAACCATAAAAACATCATTAGCGAACGAAAAACATTGGCATAGGTCTATTTTTTCGACATCACAAATTCTGCCATTATAGATATACTTCTATATTCTGATATATTCTCGACAAATACGATCCGTACAAGTTGTTAACCAAGAAATTCAAGTACTGTTCAGTTATAAGACTTGGTAGGACATGTATCAAATTCAACATTTGATTAGAGAATAAAATTGAATTGACCATTTTATTCATGTGATGATTCCAAATAAATAGACTTATATGATTATAAGACAGATGTTATTCTCTCCTTTTAAAAAAGGCCGGAATCGGATTAACTTTTTAGCTCAACTTTTTGAAGAGAAGTGGTGCTATCATTCTTCTCTTGGTTCAGTGCCTGCGTTGGCATACCATTGGTTAAATATATTTTAAGGGCAACGTCTAGCTTGTACAAATTTCAAAAGTATTTGCTAGTATACTTGTATTAACAAATGGTTTAAAATCCTCCGTAATAGATAGGAGATGCAAATATTGAAGTAAAAACATTGTGTTTATGAAAATAAGGCATAAAATCACCGTTGCGAGAAAAATATCTCAATTGCACCCCGAATATGTCCATTTTGCCGGAATAAAATTATAATCCTTCAAAACAATAGTTTTAATTATTGTCATTAATAACCATACGTTGTTACCTTTATAGAAAAAATATCCGTTCCGCCAAGAATATGTCCATTTCGCGGCCTTTTTTAACAGCGTAGAGTCCTTCGAAACAACCTTAAAACTATTTGTGATACATTTTAAAACAAAGTTACATTTTTCACTTTGTTAATATGTTTCATTACATAAATCTTGATCATACGTTGTGCCTGTTTTGCTAAAAAAAATATGTCCGTTGTGCATGCCCTTTTGTTTGAATAATGCTCAACGAATGTTAAACGCCTTTAAACATGGTGCTGTTGCCATGTTTATTCACCCGCGTTTGGTTTCGAGTTTATTCAAATTGAAATAAATTCATTTATTTTGTTTACAATAAAAGAAAACGATAAAATTAAATCTTACTTAAAGATATTTATTTCAAAGTTTACAACTTTTGAAGAAAACTACTTTGTGTCGCCCATGTTAAAAAAAAGTGAAGGAGGAATTCAGTATTGTTTTACCAAAATACATTAATGTTATTTAGATTTGAATAAACTATATTTGCGATCCCGAAAACATATACATTTTGTTTTGGTTACAAAGAAATGCCTTCAGTTGTTCTGAAAATTGATGTTACATACTAAGCCCTATAAATTGTGGTTACTCTTTGAACCACATGAATCTATCATTAATTTAGACTGAGTAAAGTTAGAGCATCATTTGTTAATGCTTCTTAAGCAACATCAAGCTACAGAACGACTTGTATGTACTTGTGGTTTAATTTGAAACTCAACCATACCAGTTTTCAAAAGAAAACAGAAAATATTTACATGAAAACTAATACATGTCTTGGGACGATTAAAACTCTGGCATATAATTTTACAGCCCTGTGTGAATATAGAAACTTCTTGGTGCATCATGACTGATGTTTTGTCCATTTTTGACAGCATTTATTATGCAATTCTTTTTTCATGTCTGTCGCATCCTGTGCTTTTATTGCTGTTGTTCCAACATGCCATCACGGATTTAATTTTCATTTGGAGGTTATTGTCCATAGTCGTTGCAAGAAAACTTACATATTCTTAAGCTATGCTTGATTTGCTGCCTTGTCTTAGTGTCTGAATGTCTGGTAAGATAAACTGACATGTTTGACTCTCCAGATTTATGCACAATCCTGAAGTCATAGGAATACAGGTCCATTCTCCAACGCTCAAGTCTTGAAGATCTAAGTTTTGATTTATAATTTTGCAGCAGTTATGACTGTAATTTTATGTCCAAATAAGTATATTTGCCAATATTAAAAGGACCAAACTAATGCTAAGATTTCTTTTTATTATCGACTTAAATAGTTTTGTTCAACATCTGTCAAAGATCTGCTTGCATAACCCATAACTTTACCCTCTTGAAGCACGCCGATTGGACATGCATCTGTGATTATTTGCGTTTCCTTATAAGGATCAAAGTATGTCGGGACAGTATCACTACTCAAAATCAATCTCAATTTGATGAATGCTTCCCCTTGTTCATTTTAATATACCATATATATTTGGCATTTTTCTTTATTAAACGACGTTTTTACACTGCTATAGTGATGTGATTTGGGAGAAAGCGTGACACGTTTTTTTGTCGTTGCTAGGAAACTTCTTACTTAAAATTCTTCTGCAATTGTTTTTGGAGGC